GTGTTCAGTATCACGGGGTGGTGCTGGCACCTCACACACCAGTCACTCACACACCAGTCACTCACACACCAGTCACACACATACCAGTCACACACAAATGCACAGCTATGGGCAATTTAGCAACTCCAATTAACAGGTAACACTTTACTTGACGGGACTCCAACGTAGTATTTTCCGATTACTTATGAATTAATTAACCACAAATTAAGATTTAGTTACAAACTGATCTCATGTTTGTTCATTATTAAGGTATTGTCACATATTTTTATCTCTAGCAAGTACTATATTTGTTACCATATCTGTTAATTCTGCAAACGTTTGTGAACCACTGAAGGAACAGATAATCAGAAACACATATAAACTACTGATCTCAGGTTTGTTCATCGTTAATTAATTGTGACATCTTTTATCCCAAGCAGTTACTATTTTTTTTTTATTCTGTAAATCTTAGTAAACCACAGAAGAAACTAGTAACAAACTATTGAAGGAACAAGTAATGAATAACAAAAGTGAAATACTGATCTCATGTTTGTTCATCATTATTGAATCTTTAGTAGTGACTATTTTTTCTTCATTATTTGTACTTTAGTAGTAACTGTGTTACTACTAAGTACTTGCATCCCCTCAAGTAAAGTGTTACCAATTAACCTCGGAATGTTTTTGGACTGCGGGGGAAACTGGAGGAAACCCCACAATGGGAAGAACATGCAAACTCCACATAGATGGAGTCACAGAGGAGACGCAAACCCTGGACCCAGAGATGTGGAGCAATGGTCGCTTCTAACTTAAGCATGGTGCCCAAAGGGGTACTAAGGGCTCTGGTTTTTGTCTTCAGTGTTGAAGAGTTTTGGATACAACTCATGTAAAAACGTTGTGTAAGTTATTTATAGCGAATTATTAACAGAAACATTAGTAACCCATTTGCTCCGTTTTTCAAGTTTCAAGCTTGTTGTAACAATAGTACAAGTAATTTTTATAATAGATTTGTCTCACATCATACCTTACGGCTGAAATGTGTATCCAGATGTGCCAAAGATATGTGAAGGCGTGCATAGCTTGTGGCTGAGTGAGTGTGTCAGCCCTGGGGGAAATTTTGATCAGCCCCCCCAGAGGTGAGTGAGGTGCATCAGAAGAGGGAACGTGCACCATACTGTTCGGATCTCACTGCTCCCGGTGGAAGGCCTCCATACCACAACGTTCTGAGGCTCTAACTAGCAAACGAACGCATTGGCACCAGGCATCATGGAACAGGCTGGAGAAGATCAGACAGGCAACGGAAAACTGTGGGGTTCACCAAGCTGCCACTGCACCCCCCTACTCCGCCACCGCATCTCCTCTTTCTGCTCTGGGAGATACGGCGAGTGTCAACCAGTTGCTGGAGCTTAAATATTGATGCGGAGTATCAAAGAGCGGAGATTTAATCCTGTGTTTCCAGACTGAACCGCGAGCTTCTTTGATCATGAGCTACTGTGACCTGACTTCTCAAGCTGTTAAGAGCAGAGAAAAACAAAACGCAAACAAACTTCAAGAGCTTTGGATTCCGTGTGAGTTTTCCTCCGAGTCCCACCAACGCGACCCATTCCTGCCTGCATCCCTCTGCAACTTCAGCTTTTATTAGTTAGCTGGTGACCATGATGAACCATAAACTAGTTAATGAGCAATGTGGGCGTTCTGTGGTATGGTCTGACGCGTCCCAGTGACTCAGTATGGAATATGTTGCTGACACATACTTGACTTGATCTGCAGTAACGGATAATCCTTTGCACTGTCTGGTGCTGGGTTTTTGGGAACATGGTCTGAACTTTTGCCGCGTTACAGTAAAACATAAAACCACAAGTCTCTGTCCCCACGTGTGTCATGTGTGTCCTGCTCTGCTCTGATTGGTCACCTGCTGAGCCTGAATCAGGTACTGTTGTGGGGGGCGCTTGCACTGTGGGTTGGGGGTGATGGGGGGAGGAATCGTTTGGTCGGAGCCTTGGCGTGAAATCAGTTTTACGGCAAGGCGACCATAAGAAAAGGCCCTTGCAGCAGCTCTCGTTACATCAAGTGCAGATGGCCCAGCCAGATGGGTCGCCCCGGCAACCCCAGAGTGTCACCAGCCCCTCGGGGTACAGCGCTAAGTGCCTTGACTGTACATTTGCCTCACTTCCTCTATGCTCCCACGTGTCATTCTCTGTACGTTAATCCGCCAGTAAGGGAGGTAAATGTGAAAGGGCGACTTTGTCACAATCAAGGAGAATGTGATTGGCATTTATAAAAGGCGTCACTTACTGCGATTGGAGTAAGGCGCGCAGATGCATGTGGGGGACCCCTTTATGTCGAAGGGGGGCGCTACAGGTCGCGTCATAATAAACACTGATTCTGCTTAACAATGACGGAAAGATGAGCACAAAGTGAAGAACAGACATGAGGGTTCAGTCGACATCAGCGCGACCCTGTTGGGCTGCCTGAAGTCTCCCTATGCTCCTTCCCTGCTCCGGAAACAGACTTTAGCTCACGGATGGCGTGGTAGGGGGATCCAGGTGTATTTAAATGAGGCAGCAGCGCACGGGGGAGGTGAGGCCCCCACCTGAGCATTGTTTTCACAGTTCAAAGTGAGGAGAGAGTTGTTAGCACTTCAAAGGCACTCATCTGGGAAGGAGTCAAGCACTGGGGGGGTGGGAAAGGGGGGCGCAGGCATAATGACAGGAAATGAGTATCAGGGTAATTAATAACTTCTGCAGAGTAATAAGATTTGGAAAAAGAAGGAGTCTGTGGTTCCAGGAGACACCTTTTACCCCGTAATCTTAGGTACGTGTCTTTATGCATCTCTATCATGCAGACGTTGGCTCTACAGTTAGTGTAGACACGGATCACAGTTAATAATATAAAACCCATTTTGAAAATATTTAAATTATTTATTTTGCCAAAAACAGTTAAATGTGTTTCTCACCAAGATTTCTCTAGATTTTTTTCGCTGTGTTGTCTTTGCCAATAGGGGGCAGTAAAGGCGGTAAACCATTTGGAAAAGAAGGCCATGACTTCGATAGCCTAACATGTTATTAACAAACGGCATCACTCACATTGAAGCATTATACACACCCTGTCGACTGTGATTCATATTATATACCAAAAGACCCCAAACCGTCAGCTTGTCTCTTCAAATCCCAAGAGCAGCCTATTGTACCTTTCAGCGAGGCATCAGTACATCACAGAGTAGACGTCTAGGTCCCCTTGGATTATCGCATTACCTGAGGAATTAAGTGACATATTAAGATGTTGTTTGATGGGACTATGGGCTAACTGGTGCAAAGCAGGAACGGAGGGAATACACTGTATAGATCGGGACGCCGGGACTACGCTTACATGTCTGGTACAATTTAATAGGCCCTTTGAAAAATGAATCTGCATTCAGCAGCCATATCCTCAGGAGGCCCCGTCAGGCACCGGGCTCCGCGCGATCACAGGAGATCACTGCCGTTACCTCCCGGGCCCCACCGGGCCCCACCCACTGGGCCCCACCGCCTCAGGTCTAGGCTACGTCTTTACTGTTTGCCAACAGGGTAATTTAGCGCCTTTAAAGGCATGGTGTGGTAAATGCCAGCAGATTTTAACAACGACCGTGACAGAGATAACATCTTGGCTTCGTAACCGTCCCTATTATTGCATTTTAATGGATATCTGGGGTGGGGAAGGGCAGCTCCAGGCTAAGGGTAAGTGTGCCCCCCTCCCTGGGCCGCGGACGCCTTTGTAAATCGCTGTTCTTTATGTGAGGAGACATATGGCATAACCATCCTGACCTGGAGGGGGGCATTGGCTGAGGGGTGCTTTCACAGGAGGAGATAGATGCATCGTGCAGGTGTTCTGCCTTAAAACTGAAATTCTTTACGTTATACAGCAACAAAATTAACACTTTTAACAAACACTTACAATACACGCTGTTCATAAGAAATCCGACATTGTTTCGTTGTGACCATATTACTGAGCCAAACCTATAACTTACATCACATTCAATATTTACAGAAGCTGACCTCATTTTTGACAACGGACCAAGCAGATCAATTTGATCACTAAAATTTCATCTGATCATTTAATTCAAGCTTTTACTACAAACTTCTCACTGCAATGTAATGTCATCACGTCTTGACTGACCAATTTTGGAAAACAAACTAGCCAGTTATTTTTGTCGAACAAGTCTGAAAAAATGGTTTAGTCTTGTTATGGCAATATAAATAAGGCATGAGAACTCACTTAATTATTTCATACGGACTAACTTTTTAAAGACTAATTAAATTATTAAAAACATACTAATTTGGACGGTACGTTGGATTTTTAGCCAGCATTCTATGGAAACGGAACTGCTCATATTCTTTCAATTTACATTTATATTTGAAACGGACAAATGGGTTTATTTATATTATTCAAATTAATCAATTATCTGATTATCACAAATACGAGGAGACCCCGTCTTGGGCGTCCCCTAACTGCTAGGACAGGTGCCAGGCTCACTGCGACCTTGTACTGCGTCAGTAGCTGGAAGACGGATGGATGGATGGAGGCTTTGATGCGTGAGAGAGCGAAGAAAACCGGAAAGTGTATCAGCGGGAATATCAATTTAATTGCAGTGTAGTTTCAAGTGTTTTATTTTTCAATTTTACTTATTTATCGATCTATTTATTTATTTACTTTTGCTGTAATGTCACTTCACTTTATGTTCAGATTTATTTATTTTTGTTTATTTAATTGTCTATTTTTTTAAAAAGCATTTTCAGGCGACGTTGTAATACTGAGAAATATTGCACCCCTTTGTCATTTAACTGCTTTACATATTGGGCTCGCCAGTATCCAGGACTTTGTATTTGTTCGTACACTGAACATTTATTGGGAATTAAAATAATATTTATTTTGATTAAAATAACAGATAAGCGTTAAATGTTATGATATTAATAGAGTTGGATGGATGTCTTAAAAATCCAGGCTAATAAACATGTTCCAGGTTTTGTTTTGCATATGTCGTGAGAAAACATGACAGAAACAACAAACGTCTTAATATCTTAATTATTAATAATTTAATAATTCCTTGGGACAGACTCAACTCAATTCAGATTTTTATTGTAGAATTTACATGGGTCACTCTTAAATTTGAACCTTTTGTTGAATCTTTGACGTTCAAAAATAAACAAAAAATGCTATATAAAAGACTGTTGTTCTATCAGAAACGTGTCTTTACTCACTTCGACTTCCTCCTCCTCTTCTGCAAGCCCCGCCATCACCGCCCCCCTCCCCTGTCCCTTAGCACATACATAAGGGACTCGGTGGAGAGGGTCTCTTCACTGTACAGAGGATGCAATCAGTGCTCCTTTGAAATGGTCCCAAGGACTTATGGCGATTGGCTCTGCCCTGCACTTCAAAAGACTTGTCAGGTATATGAAAGCCACCGCTGGCCGTCAGAGGAGCGGGGAAGTTCGCACGAGTGCAAATAACAGATCTGGGTGAGGAGGAGAGAAAGTGTGAAACGACGAGCTTTAAGTCCGGATTTCACAAACGGGATTACTCTGCTGTGCTTGTTAAACCTGGTCTCCTGTAACGTGCGCTTCTCCTGGAGCGTCGCCGCTCAGATGACCGCGCTGTCCGCGCCCAGCGAGCGGGGGTCCGAGCACACACATGGCTGCGCTTACTTTGTCCGCTACTGATCATTTTCTGCACTCATTTTTACAGGTTTGTAGATTGTTTTATTGTTTCCTCTTTAGACTTGGCAGGTAAAAACTAGTACTTGGTGACAGTAACAGATGTACTCGTATGGCGTATGAAAATAATAATAAATAAACAGTAACACTGCGTCAAGAACTTGAGGAAGAAGTGAACGAGTTAAGCACCTTTCCACAAACGTAATCTTTTTCTTATAAAGTTCCGTACAAATAATTCTCAGAGTAACATCATGATACACGGTGCAGCCTTTTTAACGGTATTAAGTGTTATTTCTGTTGCACTTGTAGCTGTTGCATTCCATGTTTCTGCAAACCATATGATGTTGACGATGCACATGCCACGTGCTTCAGTAGATAGGGGACTAACACTGTGACTCAGCGACTGTTAGTTTAAGCCTCTTTGCTCCCGCTGCACTTAAGTTGTTATTCACAGTGTAAAAAAAACAGCTGATTATGCCTCATAATATCTAATAGGATGATACATTATTTCTCTCTATGAAGAACTGTGACATTAGGCTGCATAGTAAAAGGTAACTGATTAACTTTTACTTTTGTGGCCCTTGCATAGGACCGCACGCCCAGCTCCTCCCCAGACGGTGGATCCCACGCCATTTCCTTCTTGCCCTCGACACGGGGTCAGGCGCGGCAGGCAGGCAGCAGCGTGGGGCTGGAGGGACCCCGGGTTCCCTATGAAGGGGGGGTTGGCTCCACACCTGGGATGTTCCAGCTGTGGAGTAATGAGGTGGCGACGAGCCCAGGCCTGGGCAGCCACCAGATGACCCTGACGGTGCCGAAGTTTCCAGGGCATGTACAGTCCGGCCTGGGAACTCACTCTCACCACCACCACCACGAACTGCCCCTCACCCCTCCTGCTGAGACCCCAGCCTCCTACCCCTTTGATCTCTCCCCCGTCAAAGTCCTGTCTTCTCAAGTGCAGCCTAACAGCTCTTACTACCACCAGCATAGCAGCGTCGGCCAGAATTTCCCCAGTCTACTCCAAAGCTCCTCCAATAGGCACCACCTTCCAGGAAGCCACATGGAGGACAGGCAGCAGTGGTGGAGCATCCCCCAGACCAACGGCAGTCCACCCAGCCACCCCTTTGCCCTGGGAAGACAGCTGGTCCTGGGCCACCAGCCCCAGATTGCAGCCCTCCTTCAGGGCACCTCCAAGGGACTCCTGAGCTCCACGCGCCGCTGCCGGAGATGTAAGTGCCCCAATTGCCAGGCATCCAACAGCGGGCTGGCCAGCCAGACTCCTGAGGAGCTGGGCAGGAAGAGACTGCACGTGTGCCACATCCCTGAATGCGGCAAGGTCTACAAAAAGACATCGCACCTGAAGGCCCATCTGCGCTGGCACGCCGGCGAGCGCCCCTTCATCTGCAACTGGCTCTTCTGCGGCAAGAGCTTCACGCGCTCGGATGAGCTGCAGCGTCACCTGCGCACGCACACTGGCGAGAAGCGCTTTGGCTGCCCGCAGTGCGGCAAGCGCTTCATGAGGAGCGACCACCTGGCCAAGCACGTCAAGACCCACCAGAACAGGAAGGGCAGGGGGGCCGCCGCTCACGCCCCAGGCCAGCAGCACGCCGCGGGGGCCCTGCTCAGGCACATCAAGAAGGAGTGAGGGAGCAGGGGCCAGATCGGGGGGCCACAACACGGGGGCCCTTTCACACCAGACGCGTCAGTGTGCAGGAAACCTGCCCCCGTGTGCCGCGTGCGCGCCCCCCCCCTCGCTTTGCTGTACGCCCACAGCGGAATTCGTTTTGTCTCGACAATCTTTAAATACGCACTTTCACGCTTAAAAGCTGATGGGGAAAAATGGCGTGGCGATGAAAACATTTTCATCAGATTGTATGAACGTGGAGTAACAATCTGTAACACAAGAGATACTGAATTATCGTGGGGAGGCAATGTTATTTATAAAAGTATGTTTGTAAAGGACTGGCATCCGGGCTGGGGTGCCCTCTGCCTTGTATTCTGTTCTGCCGGCGATAAACTCCAGGCCCCCATGTATCCCTGCCCAAGATGAGTGGCTGGAGGTGGACGGATGTTCCTTAAGCTGATAGTGATTCGGAGAAATAAACAGCAAACTGCAGTAAGGTGAATCTGAAATCAATGAATCAGAGAAGCATTGCCGTGTGTTTTACTGCGGATTGTGCTTCCAATATGATCAATGGCCGTTCAGCTTTCACTGGGAGCTTCACACAGTGTAGCAACCTTGTCTTCCCTGTTCCCTAATATTTTGCATATCGCCACATCTGCTTAATTCAAAAAAGCAGATATCACTCAAATAAATCGCAAAGCAGTTTACCTGTAATTCTGCCAAACCAAAAACATTGGAATTCATAGGGAAAAATTATTTCAAAAGTCCTGCATCATTCAATATGCATTGATCAAAGATGCACATCTGAAATCAGGTTATTTTAAAAATGTTAAATTAAATACATGGTTTCCCTGTCACCATAAGAACATACGTTTTGCAGGTTATTTTTGTTAAAGAAGAACCCCGGTCAGTTTCCAGAGAACAAACTTATTTTCTTTATCAGAGAAATATTGTGAAAATAAGGGTTTTCAGAAAGTCGTTTTGTTCCCGCGGCCGTCGTTAGCTTCCCGTCTCGGGCAAATGCAAAAAGTCCTTACTGTTGTACCTCGCTGTCAGTGTACATTTAAGTATGTAACCATGTAACCATGTATGTAACCATGTAACCATGTAAACCAGGCATGTAAAAATGTTCCTTTAATGCAAATAAAAATAGATGGTGTGGTCTGTCTTCCGCTGTGTTCCTGTGACCTGATTGATGCTTGTACACTTTCAAACGGCAAGTTAGGTTACAGAAAACCTCATTATTCTGCAAATGACATCAATATTCCAGTGAACATGCGTCAGGATGGATAAACAGGCAGCTACCTAAAACATAGTTATCCGCTCCTGCTGGATAAAGCATTTAATATAACACAAATACCGTGACTAATTAGAGGTGTTAAACCTCCGTGGAATTATAACAAAACAAAACTATTTCTGCCTATGTCTTTCTCAAGATATATTTTTAGAGTGCTAATTCTGAGGCGTTTAATTAGCTAAATTTGACCCTTTTCCCAGCAAACAGCCCTGTTGTGACAGAGGGATGCCAAAGCGTGTGTGTATACCATCTCGTAATTAACCTAATGTCGAATTAGGAAAATAACAGTCTGACATACAAGACGCCATTACTATCATATCAAGCCTTAACATTTCGTGGAAGTTACCTTAATAAATAATATGCATCACTGTTTGGCTGCTTTTGTTTTTTATTTTTTGCACAAATTAACAAACGCCTTTCTGATTAGGCCTACATACAGGCCTTAAGATCCCGTTAAAAATAAATTAAACATTTAAACTGACATTAACCTTTCATTTTGTTAGACTACTAAGCAGGCCTGCATTAACCATTATTCATCTGTTGCTGTAAATAAATCTGTTTTCCTGGTTTATGTGGTATAAACGTCCGCAGTTTTTTTTTTAACATTAAGTCTAGCGGTCATTTGCTAAGTAGGCTACATACGGCGGGAGGTTCTACAATCGTTATCACACTTAATACTCCTGGTTTGCCAGCCTGTATTTGGTACTATAGTGTGTGCCTCTGTAAAAGTGAGCATATTCCTATAACACTACAGGGCAATTAACATTTAACAAAGGAAGTAAAGCAGAAGGGTAAGACTCTAAATTCAAGAATTCAAAATTTTAAAGTTAGATAGCGACGAAGCGCGTTGAGTTTTTCTTTTCTGTTTTCTTTTCCGTTTTCTGTGAAACGACCGACGTTGTTTTGTTTTTTACCTAATTAAAATTAAGTTCTCGGATGGACCACGACCAAGCAAAGAAACAACAAACAAATTTATTTTTGTATAGCGCGTTATCACAACATTCAAAAGCGCTTTACATCAAGGAGGTTGGCCGTATGAACGCGGAGAACTTAAGCACCCTGGTTTGTATTGTCTGATCTAAAGCAATATTTATTTCTGTTTATGTAAAACAATGCCAACCACCACTGGCCGACCGCTCCCGAGCTGCAAAGTCTCGGGAAGCTTTATTTATTTTTGTAGTATCGCACTGAGGACGGGCGGCAGTGGGGTCGGCGATCTGCACCGCTTGGTAGGCTGGCCGCCGTTACATTCCTGCCTGGACAATTTGCACTGGAAATTTACAGACAAATACGGAAATACAATTTATGCAATAAAAGACTAAGTTCCTCCGCCTGGTTAAGATTACGTACAGCGCCTAGTTTATCGTTTTCATTTCACGTCAGTTTGTTTTGATATGTCTTTATTAAAAGGCGGTATTCGGTGGGATCCTGAAGCTGCTGAAACGTCGCAGCTCCGCGCTCCCTCTTAAAACGAGCGCATGTATTTCGTATGAGCCCCAGCACACCGCCCGTCTTACTGTCTTACAGGTATTTAGAAACTAGCCCTGGTTTTCAAGATGCGTCAGTTTTCTTGTGAAAATGCGAAAACGAAAAACTAAGCCGAATCCCTATCATGCTTATTTAAATCTGTGACATTAATGCACGTTTTCAACATCCGACCATAAAAGACCAACATGACTTTGACATTTTAAGTAAATACATTTACAGTTTTGCCCCATAGGAGGCGTTATACACTCAGTTATTACAGGGTATTTTACCAATATAAGCCACCTGAAACTGGTGCCCTTTTGAACATTTGTATACGTGATTTACATTTATGGGATGTTGTATGAGATTTATACTATGTTACATACAGCAGCCAGAAGGGGGCAGCAAACAATTGCAAGAATTATATTGCTGCAGCTATGGCTTGGCAGCGAGAATATCGCTGTCATCACAGATTGCAAGCTACTCATGTTCACAGTCTGACGTTTGATTTTCACAGTTGAAAGGTTTGTAAGGAAATCTGATTCATAGTTTCTCACTTTTGCACTTTGTGCAGTATAAACAAAGGAAATCACCCAAAGAATTAGCGAGGATGAGTTTTCAAAAAGGTAAGTTTTATTTAAACATGATACAACGGCAAATGCTCATAGGTCAGGCAGTTTCATCTATCTCCCATCCTCTCCTTCTGTATGTTCACTTCCTGGTATGGTATTTTGTCTTTGATAAGCATGCAAATTAAGAAGGGTGAAATAACCTCAGTGGGGGCGGAGAAGACCTCAGGGTCTGGATCGGTATGGAGAGTCCAGGCCGCTTAGCGAGATAGCTTAGGGCACTCAAGCCTCCCCAAGAGGCCAGGTATGAAACCAGTACCGAAGAATCACACCAGACACATTGCAGGGTGAGCAGCTTTGCCTGCAGTGACGACTCCAGAGGAGTGAATTACACAAGAAGGGCAGGAGTTACCATGGCCAGAATTTCAAGATGTTCTTTGGTTCCCTCGCTGAAGATACAGTAAAACATTCAACTGATTATACCCTGTGCAAAAACCCTTTATATGCCAATGTGTGGCATTTTGAGCAGTGTCACCTGAGCTGCCAAGGCTGCAGATCCCTTTGGGTATTTAAACCTGCAATTCCCCGTCGTTATGGTGATTGTCATGTTTTAAAATGACTGATCAGATCAGTCGATTCCTACCTAGTGGTGGGATCACAGAAACCAATACTGCAAGGCAAACATAGACAGAGGTTAAGAGTGATTTTTTTTTCCCCGTGAGCTAAACCCAATTGGACCACAGGCACTGATTTGGTATCCATGTGAGAGGTGGTGGGGGCATCAGGCTTCAGCTGACCCAAAGCGGAGTGTCTCTGTAAAAACCATCCATAGGTGGCCTTATAAGGACCGTTCACATCCCGTGACATTTCCACAACCTATGAATACCTTTGTTTTGGAAAAATCAAGAAGTAAAAATAAATCGGCAATAACATTGCCTTCGCCCATGTCCTTTAAAAGTACGAGAAGCTCCCATCTGCTAAAGATGTCCGGATTTGACCTGTTTAAAGTCTGGCTTCTCCTTGCCTCTCTGACTGACTGTGAGTTTGCTTGAAGGAGCTAATCCAGTGGCACCTTCTCCTGAATGAAGTACATCTGCTGCATGACGGAAGAAGGTTCCTCCTTGGCAGGGCATTGAAGAGTGAGGTCAGCAAATGCTAAGGATCTCCTGCCTGTTACACATGCATACAAAAAATTTAAAATCTGTCTCCGGGAACGTCCCAGTTTTCAGCATATACCGATCTTAATCTAAATCCTTAATTGTCGACACGACACGGTGCCCATTCTCACTGTGGGAGAGAAATGCTCATTCTTGATGGACATTTGACACCCCTCCCTTCCTTGGTCTGGAACATTATTAAAAAGGGAGAAAAAACAAACACAAGGAAAAAGTCTTAAACATTCTGGGTCGTTTGTAACAGAAGGATGACGAGTAAAAACCGGTAGGAAAGAAGAGATAAGACAAAAAGAGCAACAGCAAAAAGTGATGCAGCCTAACGACCGCATCAGCTATGGCGTGCAGATTAAGACGACGCAGCACCGTCGCGCTCTATGGAGTTTGGTGCTGGGGGGGGGGCAGGAGGAGGTGCAGAGTCTCTGTGCTCACAGTTCATCTTCGTCCAGCTTTGCCAGGCTGCCGAGCCTCTGGACCCCCAGCGGGCCGGGCGAGAAGCACCCTGCCTCACTCGCTATGGCTTTCACATGGTCCTCACTGGCCCTCTGTGTGGGAAGAGGAGGACACAAGGCTGTCAGTTGAGGGAGTGAGCTTTACCAACCTCTGGATGACCTGTCAGTGGTATGCCAGTTTGGCCTTAGCCTGGCCCCTTATTGGTGCATCCACACGTCTGTTAAGTGCAAACGCTGTTATTCATACAAAGCTGTGAATTTTGGCAAACGCACAGCGTCAGGTTCGTTCGAATCGCAGGTTTCGTTCTTCCCAGCTCTCACATCACAACTCCACGCAAGCTTGTTTTCCCTTTTTGTAATATATTAGGGTTTTGGTCACTGTTAATGATTAACACCATAATTAGTAGTTGTAATGGCTGTCGCTCCGTTCCGCTGTCCTGTAATTAACTTTCAATTGTGATAAAAATTAATTATGCATTGGCTTCCAAGCCAACGCTGCTTTGGTGATAAAGTGTTATGCAGAGTGACTTGATACTGAGTCTGGTTACATATCTGAACTTTGTCTACCATCATTATAAATAATATCAGCTATGCTAATTAATTCGAATCATTTTGAAATTGCTTAGCTGACTCTTTTACCCAAAGTGACATACATTTTGGAGAAAGCCAGGTTTGACAGTCCCTGGTGCATTTGAGGGTTATGGGCTGAGCCCAAGGACATAATGGTAACTTCACTCTGCCAACCCTGGGATTTGAACTGGCAACTTCAGGAGCACAAGCCCAGCAGCCTAATCCCCTGAGCCACATGCTATTCCATAGAAAGCCAAATGGACAAAGATCTGTAAATTAATTATCCCTATTCACATGAATCATTCACACAAATGATTCACAAAGAAACAGCCAGAACTTAACAGGAAATCACAAATCAGGAAATTGATGAAGTCCGTAAGCATCTCCCCCAACGAGGCGACTGACCGCGCTGGCAGAGAGATCTTTGTCAGCCTGCAGTGAGAATTGGCCTGTTATGTCACAGCAATTTTTTTTCTTTCTCTGGAACAGGAGATGTGGCTGTTTTACAGTTGAGGAACAAGTCAAAATGCCTTTTTCTGGTTAACGTACAGTCAGTGGAAAGGAGATCTAAATATGTGTTATATACAGGTGCTGTATATAGTATACGTTGTGTCTGTCAGAGGGATTAAGATCAGAAGATACAGTGGGATTCTGGAAGTTTCGAGGTAACGTGTTTGATGTCAGTGAGCCAGCTGTGCCCAGAAGGGGGCAGTGTGGAGCCTGCATACCTGTGTAGTATGTCCCTTAGGATGGCACAGCCCTTTGGACACAGCTGGGTGGCCCTGGGGTGTGTTGCAGTGACCACAGTGTTGTGTGTGGATATGGATGGGAGCCATGCTCTGGCTGTATGTGCCAGACGCCAAGGGGAGGTGCTGGTCATGCGTGGGCTGGAGACACAAAGAGACGGAGAAGCTGATGGGAAAGTGTCCGACTGTCAGACCCCGATAAATGACCCTGTCCTTCACGGAGCTCATGTCTCAGTATTAATCCTTGCAAATAGTCCTTTTAATGGCAAGCCTCACATGGCAAAAGTGTTGAAATAGACAAAAACATTAAGGAAATAGCAAAATGAATACATGAGAATTTGTCTGGGTTTGTTGGATTTCTATGATTTGGTTCTCTGAAGAGAAACCATGGACCGGGCCAGGCCGATGAACCATCCAGCTGGGTCTGACATGCAGAACTGGACCCCCATCGATTCCCCGTTTCCTGTGGCCTCGGGGCTCCGTGACCCACGGGTGCCGGAGACGAGTTGGACTCTTCATTTGTGGTCCTGTTGTGGTGCAGAAAGGTGCTGCTCCTTCTGGACTGAGTGCTTGTGTGTTCAGCACAATCGGCCTGTGGGACCATTGTGGGTTTCCAGTAGCTGTTGTGAAAGACTTAGCTGGGAACAGGCCACACTTAACATTGTGGGGGGTGGGGCCCTTTGAGGCTTACCTGCTGCCGTGCGACTGCATCTAGGGGCCCCTGGCTGGGCATGTGGAGGGAGGGCAGTGAGCTGTTGTAGGCGTGCAGGTAGGGCAGCTGCTGGCGGTCAAAGGAGGCAGAGGAGTGGGGGCGCAGCGCAAGGTCGGCCACCATTGGAGCCTGCATGGCCCGTCCCAGGCTGCTGGACTTTCCCTCGCGCCGCTGGTACTCGATGGGTGACTGCAGAGCTGACAGGTCAACGGAGAGATCATTGACATGCTGATCAGATCATTCACGATACTGCAGACCTTACTGCCTGCAATTGGTAAAGTGTTACATGGAATCTCTTTTGTGTACAGAATTTGACATTCACGGCCTTGGTTGTTCGCAAGTTGGCCACGAGCAATTAAATGGGAATATTTTTGGAGCTTCTCCAATGTGTAAGCCAAAAATAGCTATTGAAATGATACTGACAATGATTTGGATAATAAAGTCATTTAATATATAAATATTAGTGTTAAAAAAGAGAGCTAAACATCATAGCTTGGGTACGCCATGCATCTTAGCAAGTAGCGTCACTCACGCGTTGACAGCTGTCTGTGTGATTTTCTTACCATATCTTAAACTTTTTGGTACCGTTAATTTGGATTTTTTTATAATGAGCCCAAATATGATGCTCAAATCTTCACATGCACAAGGACCTTTCGCGACCCTCGCAAACCTGAAGGGGTGACTAAAGTCAGTTTGACTTCTGTTGGCTCATTTTTGATGGTCTTACTCAGCTGATGCTGCTTTATATGCAAACAGAAGCTGTTTCAGGCGCTGCAAGAGCTATAGCACATTAACTCCTTTCAGAAGATAAGAATGTGCCAGAAGGGAAGTGCGGGGGGGTGTGCTCAGAGGGAATCATTGTTTCAGAACGAAGGATGTGTTCTTTTAAAGCCTGGAGGCTGGAGGGTAGTCGTCACCATTTAAGAAGTTGCGCTGCGTCTCAAGGATCTGGCCGACATCGAGCACCCAGGCTCTGCAGATATCGGGCGTCGGTGCCTGCAGTGTGAAGCGGACGCCGCTGCCGTTGGTCCCGCGGGATGTCAGCACGAAGCGGCACGTGTCGGCCTCATCACACGCCTCCAGGCCAAGGCAGCTGACCTGGGCGCCGACGAGACAGATGGTATCACCCGCCGACCGCCAACACAAACACGCCCAAGGAGAAGTTTGTTATTGTATCGTAACATCGATGCCACACTCTTATAGGAGACACAAATGTCAATCCACCCATTTTATACACACTTATCCAGTTACAATTACTGTGGTCTGGATTCTCTTTCAGAAGATAGAGATCATGAGGCAGAATATAGCCTGGATGAGAACCTTCCTCACGGACACACAGACACACACACATAGACGAAAGCAAACACCTGAGGACACTTTGGAGCTTCTAGTCCATCTGGTCTTTGTAATGGAGAACAGAAAGAAAAGTGAGGGAGAACAAGCGAACTCAGCACACAAATCCAGGATCATCTTCCCAAGGTGACAACACTACCTGCTGAGTCACTGTATCGCCCAACAGACATATTGATATTGTTTTTCTTAACACACCAGCTGTCAGAGTGGAATGGAAATGGAAAGAACAACAGAGCAAAACACTAAACACCTAGAAATATGGTACATGGAGAGAATCTGGAGGCTTGCCAAAGAAGGTATGTAATGCATATATGCAGTAACGGTGAAAAGCCAGGACTCTGCCAGAGGTCACCACACCTTGATGCTGTATTTGAAGATATATCCTGGCAATGAGAAGCCCTTCTTTCTGTCAATGGGCTCACTGAAGATGACAAGCTGCTCGAACAGGAAAACCCGCCTCTCCCTGGCCCGAGACAGGATGCTGTTGTCCTGCTCGGTCACCATAAATGTGTCCTGCTGGAGCAACTTCCCTTGTGCCGTGATCTTTCCCTGGGACACAGGAAGGCAAATAGGTGTTATCAGTCACTGCAATATGACCTCTGTCACTGGATGCACAATGGATCGTCAGTGAAGCGTGAGTGAACAAATGCCTCTGCAGTCCCTGCGTTTATATCACTGTGCTACAGCTGGGACCGGAAGGGAACTCTGGATGATCCGGTGATAAAGTGGAGTTTGTGATTATAAACACATACTTCCAGAATGCGTGGCACCTCACCTCAAACCCCTGGAGCCTTCCCACATTCATCATATCGTTGCAACGTTTGGGGACGAAACACATGACCTCCACTGCCTTCTGCTCAAGAAGAAAAAGAGGTCGTGTGCACTAAACTGCAGGCGTCTCGGTCGAAAGTAATGGCTAAAGAAGTCATGCAAATAAGAGGAGATGTCCATGAAAATATATCTACGCCAAAGGGTATGATAGAGTAATGACCACACCATGTTAGCGTCAAGTAATAGGTACATTTACAAATCTAGCAGATGCTTTTTCTAAAGCAACGTACAAGTGAGGCAAATGGCACATCAAAAGCATACAGCCACAAAAAAATTACGAGACCACTCTATACATTTTTAAATCCCGGTTTAATCATGATTCTGCTGCCAGAAGGCGTCGCTGAGCAGCAGGTCGCTTCCAGCTTCACAATTTCTAAGACAGCAGTACACAAGAATAAGGTGAAACAGGAGACACTGGGAATGACCCCAAACCAGCCAGGTAGACGGCGGAAGCGACTTTCAAATGCCAGAGATGACCGTTAACCGATCTGAGAATTTCTCATGAATTGGAAGACGACATCGTAACCTTTAAAAGGAATGGGAAACATTAAGTATAGGTGTGAAGTGCACTGCTAGGACAGTTCGTATCAGGCTCCTAGAAGCAGGACTGAAGTCCCATAAAGCAAGGAAGAAGCCCTTCATTAATGAGAAGCAGGGAAGAAGCCCTTCATTAATGAGAAGCAGGGAAGAACCAGGCTGCAGTTTGCAACAAAAAAAATATATAATTCACAGACACACACCCTTAAATTCAGAAATGAGTGAAACCAAAAATTGTGCTGTGGTCTCTTAATTTTTTCCGTGGCTGTACTTGCTGTCAAGGACTCAACTAGGCGTAACTGCAGTTAGGCTGAGCTTCCAAGCAAACGAAGCAAGTACCTAATAAGACTATTCAATGACAAGAAATGCAACACGAAAACATTCACATGAAGAGGCATGAAGGAAACATGAAGAGGCATCAGAGTAGCAGGGGAATTCATGGGACAGATGGGCCTTGAGGTGTTTCTTGAAGGTGGAGAGGGAGTCTGATGACCAGTGATTCGGCAGCTCATTCCACCATCAGAGAACCGCGCGAGAACATGCAGGACATGCAGCACTGGGAAGCAGATATGTCCAATACTGAGAATTTCGAGAAATGGAAGAATGGAATCTACTGACTGGAGCTGCTGTCATATTTGAGGTCATGCTATATTATTTTTCTATTTGCGGCTGCACGAGTGACAGTCTTTCCTATGAATAACTAACAAAATCATACCTCCAACTCAGCAGTGTCCATTCCAGCCTTGGTGTAGTACTTCAAGAAGTCCTGTAGGACCAAACAGCTCATTTTCTGAGGGAAAACCATCTTGGCTTATACAGCAATTAAAATGTTTCTGAAATGGTATTTCTTCACAGAGATATGTAATGGGAAAAAATTGCACATAAATTAATTTCCAGAGAGTGGATACGACCATGGTACAACAACCATGTTCCTCAACTACTATGCATCACAAAAAAATTGAATCCGAATAATTTGCAATCAATCGCTCAATGAATTGTTTATAAAGTCATTGGCCTGTTTGGCTGCTTAAGCTGGATTAGAGTAGTATTTTATTTGATGATCCTTAACTCACTGATTTACATGTCTGTTTGAAGGGGAAAGTCAGGTGACTTTTTTCCCAAAAGTTTAACCAAGCAACGCTACAAGCTGCTTCATCGTATCAAATATGGCCGAACTGGTAGAAGCAGGAATTTTCAGTAACACACAGCTGATGGAGGCAGGCATGTTATGAAAGACCTTCCACCGCTTCCCGCAGTTCCTAGCACTATACTCTGAGCCTGACCTTGAGCAGAAGCTGATACTTCATGATCCTCTGCACTGGCTTGATGAGCAGGTCATTGAGCTGGAGCCGGTGACCCAGCTGCTGTCTGAGTTCCTGTACAAAGCAGGATTCGTGCTGTGATTTTCACACACGATTTCACTCCGCAAGGGCTTCCTGACCAGAGGTTCAGAAAGTACAAATCCAAACCATGATTTTATTTCAATCAACCAGTTGAGAATAAAGAGTCACAGTCATAGAGTACTCAACTGGTTGATTGAAACAAAATCTTTGTTTGTACTCTCTGAACATGAACTTTCCACCTCTGCTGGTGACATCACTCTTCATTTCTCGTGGCACTAATCAATAAAATAATCAATTAGCCAATAAAACTTTGTGGTACATCTGTAGTACCGTGTTGATGGTTACAGATTCATGTCTTTGAGATATTCCGATACAGTATTGACCTTGAGATTGCACTGAACACAACCAAAGCTTTAGACTAAAGTGAACTTCATTAGAATGGCCTTTACCTTTTTATTGTGACTATGGTCATATACTCACTTCAAAGTAGGTATCGATGTATTCAGAGACGATGTGCTCCGATTTGGGCTTGTTCTGACAGTACACCACGTACATGTGTAACCGGCGTTCCTGCAACACGTAAGGACACGGTCAGTGTCTCCTACACAGTTTTGATGGCCATCTAGAGATCGGTCCAGAGTTCTGTAGCACCCTTTTGTTCATAAGCCCTGTTCACCTTGGAGGCTGTGGCCATAAGCACATCCATCATACTTCATCTGAAATCATTAGCGTTATCATTTTATAAGTGGGTTTTGCACACATTCTAGCTCCATAACAGCGACATGGCTTTACATGACTGGCCCTCTGTTCTCTGGTAGAGCCAGTCTGTAATGGAGCTGAGCGTGAGCAAGCGTCCGTTCATGTATAATTTAACCACATTATCCTGAAAGCCACATTAGAAATGAACACAGTCTACCTACACTGTCAGGAAAAGGTACCAATTTGTATCTTTGCTTGTCACTGGGGCTGTACCCTTAAGGGTCTGCCAACTGTACCCTAGCTGTAGATAATAGTACTTTTAAGGTATAGAAATGGACTATGAGGAACATATTTGTACCATTGGGGTTCATCTGAGGGGATGTACCTCTCTGTCCATTTCTATACCTTAAATTAGATGAAAAGGTACAATTACCTACAGCTAGGGTACAATTGGCAGACTCTTGAAGGTACAAAGCAAAGGTACAAATTGGTACTCTTTTTTTCTGACAGTGTAGCAATTGCTGGGTGGTGAGGCCTGGAAACAGCCAGACCTTGTTAGGGAAGTGCTTATAGAGGTTCCTCAGTGTTACTCAGATACAGGGACCGTGTGCTTAAACAGGCCTTCTGTAATGGCGCAGATCGTGGAGATGGAGGAATGGGGAACTTTCTTCATGGAAGAATCACAAAACCCACTTTTTGCCTGACTGCCCATGCTGGTTCTAGTTTGCTCAAGGCATCTGACACTCAACATCTGCCTGGTTCCAAGGCTCTAGCCACCTTGCTCCTTTCCAGCCTAGTATCCTTCCACAGGCAGGGCTATCCAGACCATCCATAAGTCTCATTACGTCTCCCTCGCTCAGTCAGCATGGTTAATGTAACTCATGCACATGAGCAGTCAGGGCTGGAACGAGGACAGAGATCATGGTACCCTGGGAGACACGGCCCACTGACCTACCGTGACCTTTTCCAACCATTAGCTGCATAGCAGTGACCTGACTTACCCTCATGTACACAACCAGTCAAAAGGTTTTCTCTGCTGTTATAACTGCTAGAGGAGGTTACTTTGATGAATCAAAGATATGGCATTTTCCTGCTAATAAAGGTACTCAAATGGTGAACACAGTGTAAATTTATAGTATAAATATAGTATAATACAGTATAAATACAACATTGAGTGTATTTTTAGTAAATGTTGAGTAACGTGCAAATGTAGAAAATCTCAGTGTGTGCAAAGACTTTTGACTAGTAGTGTATATCTGTATCCTGAATTTAATGTTCTTCTACCAGCTTCTACCATTAATTGGCCCTCGACATTAGCTTATTATTATAGTATCTGTGACAGCAGAGGGGATCAAAAAGACACCGTCCCTCCTCCACCAAGGGAACCATGCTCCTCGGGGTAATCATGGCCCGGTTTATAATTGTGTTTTTGTTTTCCTCTTCACGCTTCCTGGCCAGTCACGGCACATCTGTATGGCAGACACCCCAAGTGATACTTAAAAAATTAGCTTGTGAGAGTTGGGGGGGGGTACTCAGCAGTAAACCAAGTCAGGTGACCTCTTGGGGGGTGGGCTGTCCCATGGCGTTCCTCAGCTACACTTACATGCTTGATGAAGAGCTGCGCCAACCTCTCAGGTTCCTCTACACACTTCCCCAGCTCCCCCAGGAAGTAGCTGCATGGAGGGGGGCAGAGCAGAAACCCATTTCTGTCACACACACACACACTGACACAGGCTCACTCAGTCTGACATCAATACCGGAAAGCAATGGATGCTTACTCCTTATGCCAATCGAATATCTGGTGGATGTTCCCAAACACGATCTTGTCCCTTCCCTTCATATCTTCTGGCACTCCCTTGTCATTCATGGTGGCCCTGTAGCCCTTGTGGGGGTCAGAATTTACACAGTGTTACTCCGCCATCCAGGGGTGACTGTGACTCCATGTGTTTCTTACGGCGACTGCCATGTTTAATGCTCAAGCGAGTGGGAGAATGAAACAGATCATCTTAGCGGTGCAGTGTGTGGGATTTACCTCCACAATGAATCCCAGATCAGTCACATAGAGCTTCTCCGTCTCAACAAGCTCTTTCAGTACATAGCTGCAGGGTTGCGGTGACAGAGAGGAGGGCAGCAAACACATTACAATTTGCTGGACACTTTTTTTCTAAGCAACATACAATTGAAAGCATGTGAGTCTCTGGGGCAATGCGGGTTAGGGGCCCTACTCAGAGGCCCAAAGGTGAAATCACTATGACGATCACTGATTTGAATTGGAGAACCTCCAATTACAGGCAAAGTGTTGTAATCTGAGCCAGTCGTCACTGATCTAGCATGAGATACCAGAGTGACTGTAGTGTGGCCTTCTAATTCCCAACATGGGGACAATCAATGGATCCTTGACTTCTATATTGACCTTTGGACCATTGCTTTTGATTGAAATGGACACAGGACAATTTGTTTGAATTTAATGGACACAGGGCCATTTGTTTTGAATGAAATGGACACAGGACTATTTCTTTTGAATGAAATGGCACCGGACTGTTTCTTTTGAATTAAATGGCACCAGAATATTTGTTTTGAATGAAATGGACAAAGGGCTATTTGTTTTGAATGAAATGGACACAGGGCCATTGGTTTTGAATGAAATGGACACGGGACTATTTGTTTTGAATGAAATGGACACGGGACTATTTCTTTTGAATGAAACAGACTCAGGGCCATTTGTGTACTTTCAGGCATGGCCCCTGTAGCTCATGAAGTACAGTACTGCATTTGCAGCCTCTTTCGAAAAAAGCGTCAGATGAAATGCAAGTGTTTCATGTGAAAAGCTCTCCATCCTTTGTTGAATAATAATGATTTTATGATTGCGAATTGGCAAAAGTGGTTTGAAACAGCAAATGAGATAACTGTAATGAAATAAGTGCCAGATTGGATGTGTGTTCCCTGCATCAGCAGACGGATGTGAGAGCAAAGCCCATGTCTGAGGACGGTGAGGAGAAAGGCCTACGTGCTCTTCTCTAAAGCACTCCTCCTCTCTTCCTCACTGTCTGTAGTGGTTGACGATTGGCTGGACGCATCATCCATCATGGCGAAGCTGTCCTCTTCTCTTAACCGATTAGAGGGCAGGTGGTCCTGTTGGAAACAGCAGAAAGCAGTTGATAAATTGTGTTTTCGGCATTCCTGTTTCATATAATAATAATAATAATGACAATATTATTAGTAAATGCTATGTACTTCTGATTTGTGCAAAATATTATCTCTGAAGAACATTTTAATTTTAATATAAATGTGTAATATGTTTTTCCTTTTTGAACACGCTCTTCTCTCCTATGACCTCATCTGAGAGTCCCCCCTTCCTACCTCAGAGGATGTGCCAACACCACACACCATGATCTGGGCAGGGCTGCCTTTGTTGACACGTACCCCCCCCCCCCCCCCATAATCAGGGTTTGTTCAGAATGCTGACCATAAATCAATGTGTGTCCTTATTACCACCAGGCTGTCACTACTCGTCAGCTGAAGGGAGCTGTTCTCCCATGAACTGTTCTACCAGGAACTGGGAGGAAGCAAAAACATGTATTGTCTGTGGATCCCCGAAGACCGTATTGGGAAACACTGATTTAGCCTCATAGGTAACGCATTATATTAACTGCAACTTCATAATGCTTTTATATTGCATTCATAAAACATTCAGTACACCTTCATAATGTATTCCTTAAGTATTCATAAAACATTCATAAACACCATGCATGTATACCATAACATCCTAACATTCCTTAACAGCTGTAATATACAATAAATAACAAAAATTATATAATAATAACGAACAGTATAATTGTATAATCATGTAATGTTTGTAATTAATGTATAATAAAGGGATGTTAGGATGTTAAGGTGTAGTTGCGTGCTGAATGTTCTATGAATGCTTTATGAAGGTGCACCGAATGTTCTATGAATGCATTATGAAGGTGCACTTAATGTTCTATGAATGCATTATGAAGGTGCACTGAATGTTCTATGAATGCATTATGAAGGTGCACTTAATGTTCTATGAATGCATTATGAAGGTGCACTGAATGTTCTATGAATGCATTATGAAGGTGCACTTAATGTTCTATGAATGCATTATGAAGGTGCACTGAATGTTCTATGAATGCATTATGAAGGTGCACTTAATGTAAAGTGTTACCGCCTCATATCCAGACCGGGTTGGTATATTTGCTAACAGCCTGGTATTGTGTACTAGACCTCAGCTGAGCACCACTCTGCCCAGAGCGCGATAGCGGTGCTGTAAGAGCGCATGAATGACCCCGCTCTGCCCAGAGCGCGATAGCGGTGCTGTAAGTATGCGGGGATGATCCCGCTCTGCCCAGAGCGCGATAGCGGTGCTGTAAGTATGCGGGAGTGATCCCGCTCTGCCCAGAGCGCGATAGCGGTGCTGTAAGTATGCGGGAG